TTGGTGGAGCTTTGGGTTCACCATCTTGTGCAGAGTTCGCTTGAACCATATGACAAGTGGTCGGGCTGTTGTATCCTAGAGGGGACAAGTCATAATTTTGTGACTGTTGCATCGGTATTTGGGTTCTTCTTACCGTAATGGGCTTGATCTCCTTAAAGAAAACGAGATATCCATACCTCAGCCTGATCTATTTGTATCTCATTTTCTTTGCATTATTTATCAATAAAATATTTTTTTCTGGTATTTTCCCTAACAATTTTAAGGAGATCAATCATGGATCAAGTTCCAAAAAAAAACCAATGATGGAATTGGAGATCTCAACAAGCCTTTCAAGTTCAAGGGAGTTCATTTTAAGAGGTGGAAAGGAAAAGTTTTTTTTACCTTAGCATTTTGAAAGTTGCATATGTTCTTATCGAGAAGAACCCAAACAAAATCCCAATCGAGGACATGAATGATAAAGACTACAAGGCACATGAAGCAAAAGTGGCTTCCTATAATACAAATGAGTATAAATGTCGCTTTTATCTCTTAAATTGCCTTGCTGATCAATTTTATGATTACTATGACACCACTTACACTTCCGCAAAGAAAATTTGGAAAGCTTTACAGACTAAGTATGATACTGAAGAGGCAGGAGCAAAAAAATATGCAGCTAGCCATCTTTTTCGATTCCAAATGGTGGATGGAAAATCTGTTGTGGAGCAAGCACAAGATTTCCAAATGATAGTTGCAGAAGTAAGATCTGAAGGCATCAAGATTGGTGATAACTTGGTAGTTGTAGGACTTGTTGACAAGCTACTGCCATCTTAGAGAGAATTCCAAAAAAGCATGCGTCACAAACAAAAAGGAGACTTCCTTAGAGGCGTTGATCACTCGCATTCGAGTCGAAGAGGAGGCTAGAGGCCAAGATGCATTAATAACACAAGCGGGTAATGACAATTCTACCACAAAGGTAAACTTTGTTTCTGCAAATAATAACTTACCCAAAGGTCACAATTCTAAGAATGCTTATTTGAAGCCTTATAAAAAGAATATGAAGAATTATGGTAAACCTCACAATAAATGGATTAATCCAAATAAGAACCAAGGTCCATCACCTCCACAAAATTTTACATGCTTTGTCTGTGGCAAAAGTGGGCATATTGCTCGAACTTGCAAATTTCGAAAACGTGCACCTGCCCCAAAGGCTAACATTATCGAGGAGCCATTTGTGGAGATGATTACAGACATTTGCATGGTTAATTATGTAGACGGTTGGTGGACAGATTCTGGTGCTAATAGACATGTCTGTTATGATCAAGCTTGGTTCAAGGTGTATACTTTCTTTGATGATGGGAAAACAATTATGCTTGGTGACTCTAGTCTAACCAAGATACTTGGTAGTGGTGAGGTTGACCTGAAGTTCACCTCTGGACGTGTGCTTACTTTAAAAGATGTGCTTTATAAACCGTCCACGAGGAAGAATTTGATGTCAAGTTATTTGTTGAATAAGGCTGGTTTTAAGCAAACTATAGAATCTGATCAATATGTGATTACCAAGAAGGATATTTTTGTGGGTAAGGGTTATGCTTGTGATGGGATGTTCAAATTGAATGTTGAGATTAATAAACCATCTACTAATTTGGTTTACATGTTGTCTTCTATTAATTTTTGACATGCTCGCTTGTGTCATATTAACAGTAAATATGTGAGAATCATGAGTAGTTTATGATTAATTCCTAAAGTGACAAGAAAATTTTGAGAAATGTGAAGTTTGCAATAAAGCCAAAATTACCAAGAGGTCTCATAAAAGTGTTGAAAAAAATACCGAATTACTAGAATTATGTCATACTGATTTGTGTGAGTTTGAAGGAATTTTAACTCGGGGTGGTAACCAATATTTTATCACTTTTATTGATGATTTTTCAAAATACACAAACGTATATTTATTAAAAAATAAAAGTGATGCTTTTGAGAAATTTAAAGAATTCCTTCTTGAAGTGGAAAATCAATTTTGTAAAAAAATTAAGAGAATTAGAAGTGATAGAGGCCGGGAGTATGAATCGCTTGGATTCAACTCTTTTGTTCAGTTATTAAGAATTATTCATGAGGCTACTCCACTATATTCACCTTCATCTAATGGCGTAGCTGAAAGAAAAAATAGAACATTAATTGACTTGGCGAATGCTATGCTTATCGATTCAGGTGCTCCCTCAAATCTTTGGGGTGAGGCTATTTTGACAGCTTGCCATGTGATATATAGAGTGCCACATAAAAAGACTAAAATTGTACCTTAGGAGTTGTGGCGAGGCCATAAACCAAATCTAGGTTATTTGAGAGTTTGGGGTTGTTTAGCTTTTGTGAGGCTTGCAGATCTTAAATAACCTAAATTGGGTGAACGAGCTACCACCTGTGCTTTTCTGGGGTATGTGTTGCATAGTACAGCTTATAGATTTTTTGACATGAAAAATAATATTATTTTTGAATCAGGTGATACTATTTTTCATGAAAATAAATTTCCTTTCAGATCTAGAAATAGTGGGGGTCAAATAATTTCTAAAAATATTTTATCCGTGCCTAGCTCTTCTATTCCTTCTCAAGTTTTTCAAGAACAAGA